ATGAACAATGTATTCTACTCCGTAAAACCAAAGTCAACTTTATCAAATTAAACGTGTAGTTGACTCAAAATTTGCTGAAAGTTAATTCTACTCATTTGAAAAGAGTGTTAAATGTAAAGAGTTAAACACCTCATTACTTCAACTTAAATGGAGTAAGTTCACAGTTCTCGTTTAGACCAGTTTTTTTTAACTCAAATGGTTTGTAGCAATATATTCCTCTCAAACTGTTTGAGTTGCCTTAACTTATTGGGTTTACAGTGCTAAGTTGGTTTGAGTTCTCTTCATTTATTGGTTTAACTGTGCTCAAATTGCTTCGTTTACTCAGAGGGAGTAAGTTCACAGTACTCATTAGGATTAGTTTTTGAACTTATGGTTGGTTGCAATCGGTTTCCTCAAATGGTTTGAGTAACCTTACATTTTTGGGTTTTACAATTTGGTATGCTTATGAAGGTAAAACATTATCAAGCTGCAATTAATTGCTGAAGCCTTTTATCATGCCATGCACTATTCTCTTTATTAAAGATTACTTTAACATGTATAATAACAAAAACATGTTTACATATGGCTTTATACATGTTGAGGGTAAACATGTTTCAACTAAATTTAATTGCAAAATGATTATGAAGTACAACAGGTACCACTTTACTATAAAGCCTCATTGGTAATTGTTAGTTAAATGGATTAAAGTTACCAGTGAGAATTCCAGAATCATTACAGTATAACTAGTAGTTTTAATTAAAATGATACAACTGAGTTTTATTATTTACTCCATTTAATAAAATATAACACTGTAAAAAATGCTGGGTTCCACACAATTCCTACATTTGTCCCAACACAAATTAAGTTAACTTAAGTTTTACAAATTTAAGTGGATCAAATATAAAACAATTAAGTAGTCCCCAAAACACTCAGCTAAGATTAATAAAAAAAAAAAAAAAAAAAAAAAAAGTAAAGTTCTAAATGAACAAATGGTAACTATTGGAATCTAATTGCACAGTGCTAGCGTATAATAGCCCTATAAATTAGTCAGAATTTAAACAATTGTCAATCAATATTTCATCATGTAGTTGTAACAAGGAGACTGACACGGAGGGATCCATTATGCAGTATTTATTAATCACAACTTCACTCAAACACACCATGCACCCGAGTACACACACACCCCACACACACCCCACACACACACCCCACACACACCCCACACACACCCCCCACACACACACCCCACACACACACACCCCCCACACACACACACACCCCACACACACACACACCCCACACACACCCCACACACACACACACACACACACCCCACACCCCACACACACCCCACACACCACACACCCCACACACACACACACACACACACCCCACACACACACACACACACACACACACACACACACACACACACCCCACACACACACACACCCCACACACACACACACAGTAGTAGTAGGGGTATCAAGAATGATGATGAACAGACACAGAGTGAGTTACCAGGCATGAGTGGAGGGTAATGAGCGAGAATCAGAGTCCGTGTATCAGGCTTGGGTCGAGGGCAGGCAGAAAGAATCAGAGTCCGTATATCAGGCGTGGGTCGTGGGCAGGCAGAAGGCGAAGCAAAGTAAGAGACAGGCTGGGGTCGTACACAAGAGATCAGGCTGGGTATAACACTCAGTAATGCTGGCCGGGGCTGAACAAGACTTCGCACTGACTGAGTGTTTGAGTGCGGCTTATATGAGGTACGTGGGTCGTTAACAAGATTCAGATCAGGTGTATGCGCAATCAGTGTAGATGGATGATGTAATGCTAAAATCCGGAGATGGCGGCCTCTGCTGGCCAGCGAGGGGAATGACCGGGACCGAGTCGGTGACAGTAGTAGACCAGATTAAACTGAAAAGTTATGAAGCCAACCCATTAAGTCTCCATGCATTGGGCTTTATTTTAAATACCGTTGCTATACACTGTGAATTTTCTTCAAAAGATCTCCAAAATCCTAAATAATAAACATTTATTCATTATATTTGGAAGGGTCCACATTATTTGTATTGTGCACATTTATTATCACGATATATTGATTTATTGAATATCAGCTTATATCTTTACTCAAGCTTCAAAAAATTTCAATTCCCTGTAAGTTTTCATAGAGGAACCTGCAGAAATCACTCTTGAAGTCTTTTTTTCTTCTGTATTTTAATCGCAGAATGATAAACAAGAACGTTGGATGAAAGATTTTGAATGAAACAGACAGACATAGAAAGGGTTGCAATCTAAGCGTTTTGCTTTTTAGTGAGGTTGTAAAAGCAAAAGGGCTGTGATTGTGCATCTGCTGCTGGAAACACAAAGACTGCATGTGTGTGCTTTACTCATCATGAATACTACTGGATGATTCCCGCTTGAGTAACAAAGCTCTGCGGGTCGGGGATAAAGCGTGCCACTCCGTGCTGTTCCCCAACAGCATCATTGGGCTGTGATGACAGTCACCATTGACTTCAGTGGCCCACATTACTGACAGTGTCGCCACAACATGAAAATACTGATCCATGTACTTATTAGCAGTGTTGGGGGTAACTCATTACAAGTACCGCGAGTTACATAATAATGCTACTTTTCTTAGTAACAAGTAACACGTTACTTAGAAAAAATAAATAAATAATGTAACTCCAGTTACTTTTTAGATGGATTAATATGATTTTAAAAATAGCTTGCTTATTGCTTATTTCTGTAATGGAAGTGTTCTCATTATTTTGAACACATAGAAGAAAAGGGGATTGTCTCAATCGACAGTGATTTCACCGAACTAATATGACAAAAATACAAAAGTAGCAAAAACATTGCTATAAACTTTCATTATTCTATAAATGACATGCATAGCATCAGGAAGTTCTTAGAGGGTAACATTATTCTATTTTTTTTATTAATGTTTTTTTTATGGTAAACAAGGTGTAGGTTATACAGTGGATTAATAAATGCAGAGCTCCTCTATTTCAAAAAGAAGACAAAAACCCTGCAAGTTCTGAAAGAGATCAAGCCTCAGGCAGGTATGGAAAAAGGTACTCAAAAGTAATGTAACTCATTACTTTCCATCTAAAGTAAAGTAATTTTTTGGGAAGTAACTCAATATAGTAATGAATTACTGTCAATAATAACTTTTCCCAACACTGGTTATAAGCACAACTTCTACCTGTTTATCATTTTAGTTAGAGTTAGTTAAGAGTAAGACGCATTGAATGGTCTGTTTTCTGTTGTATATTTGTGCTGAATTTGTGGAGTTTTCTGTATTTGTGACTCAACTTCCCAAGAAAACCACATTAATGTCTCTGACATCACACATTTCCTTTTGCAAATATCCTGTGTGGGTTTAGAGAGACCCACCATAGAGGTACTGTAAAAGTTACTTCTGTCAAAAATGCACCACCAAACACTAAGATTGCTTTTTTGTAATGTTATGTAATTTTCTTTCGTAATGTCATTGTGTTTCTTTTTTTTATCCCTGTGATGTCAGAGATGAATTCTCAGTAAGCATTGCTGTAATCTTCAGCGTCACACAATTTTCAGATTTGATGCTCAGGAACAGATATATATACATTATATTATATCATTCATTCATTTTCTTTTCGGCTTAGTCCCTTTATTAATCTTGGGTCGCCACAGCGGAATGAACCGCTAACTTATCCATTTTTTTTTTTACGCAGCAGATGCCCTTTTCCATCTCTGGGAAACATACATCAACACACTCATTCACACTCACACACTCATACACTACGGACAGTTTAGCCTACCCAATTCACGTGTACCGCATGTCTTTGGACTGTGGGGGAAACCGGAGGTGAGAACATGCAAACTCCACACAGAAACGCCAACTGAGCCGAGGTTTGAACCAGCGACCTTCTTGCTGTGAGGCGACAGCACTACCTACTGCACCACTGTGTCGCCCGTCCAAAAATGATATTTGTGCTAAAGAAAGGTTTTAATAGTAGTAATAATAATAAAAGTACAGTAATAGTATAGTAATAATATAAAAAATATTACTGACCCCAAATTTGTAAACCATACTTTAAATTACATTGAACTACACTGTTTTAATTAACTATGATCTTATATGTGAAGCTGCTTTGACAGCTTATTAGTCAAAAATACCAAGTAAGTTTATTTGATGTATTTGCGGTGGAGTTTATTCAAGCCTTTCTGAAATGATGAGTCACACACAAATGCCATTTGCAGTACACACACACACACACACACACAAAGACACATAATAGTGTTTACAGACACTATGCAGCCATAGTGATTATATTGGTTAAGAATTACATAGCGATTTTACTGTCTCTATTACAAACACGCTTTGTTTAAAAAAAAAAAAGTTTTAAACTTATAAAAATAGTAGAGATTTGTAACAAATATGTTAATCCCAGTTTATTTGCTAAAATTATGTGGACATGTATACATGTTATTATAGAAACACGGTGCCTGTCAGTTAATTTGGTGGGTGGGGAAGACATCACTCCTACGTCACGTTGTGATGGGCCTCCAAATCATAGGGATTTTGGATTAAATTTGTGTCTAAATTAATTTCTCAAATGTCTCTTTGATTTTATTGTGTGCTCAAGTTGTTAATGTCTCATTTGTGTTACGATCTGGAACAGTCAGTCTTTCACCTGCATGCATCTTCCTCTGCATGTTGTCCGCTGCTATTTTAAGAGACTGTTATTCTGCCACTTTTATACCCGCTGCAGCAAACGACAGAGAACCTTCCTACTCATTGAGCTGATCCAGTTCTTACTGTATGATCATCAAACAGGAGCTTCACAAATACGGCTTCCTTCAGACTTAATATTTTATGAGGCTGTTAACAAAGCCCTCTTTGATTTGAAGTACATGTTGTTAAAATTTTATTTAACATTGCATTTTACACTGTTTTCCTTGTTAGCACTCTTCATGGAAAGCTTTTTTTTCAACACCGTTTATGTGTGTGTGTGTGTTTGTTTGGTTTTCAGCGGAGATCTCCAGGATGTGTGAAGTGGACGTTTCGTCTGAGCCCACGAGCCCGACACTCTGCAATGAGTCTTCTGACACGTACTGCCATGTGGACCGCTGGCAGAAATTGCGCACTGCTGTCCGCAAGCTGGAGTTCTGGGAGAACTTCACACATGAGCTGATTGGCAGTGGATTCTTCTCGAAGGTCTACAAGGTAACACTTGAAATCTCTGAAATCTGTTGACATGGTTGTTATAATAGTGATTATGAAAGTGAGTGCTAAAATATTTTAACAGATATGATTGCCTCAGTCCTGTAACACATTTGTTTGTTGAGATTTTTTTGTTGCAACAAATTTAGGAGAATTGGTAACTTTTACTAATGGTGTTTTTGTTTTTGGCAGTTCTAGTGACTTTCTTTACATTTAAAAAAAAAAAAATCTATGAAGTTATAGAAGCTTGTTTTAACCAAAATAAAGTCATTTTGACTTTATCTTATAGTTCATATTTGTTCTTTATTTTTGTTTGAGAGTGTCCTAAATTTAATGTACAGTGCTCAACATATATGAGTACACTCTTCAAAAATCTAGCTTTTAAATTCATAGTTTTAACAGGAAGCTGTACAATATTATATTTGTGCATATACATTAGATTAGTCAGTTCTGAAGTCAAATCTGGAGCTTATCTAACAAAATAACTTACGATAACGGTCCAGAAGCTAGTACACACAAATTTAAATGTTATAGAAATATATTAAATATACATTTTAAAAAGAGAAACAAAATCAACAGAAGCAAAAAAAAAATTTATTGTTTGCAGTTTGTTTTTGCAATCTTTTGCTTGAATTTAATTATATTATTTTTCAATTTCTAAATATGTTTGGTGACTAAAATATTATTTTCATAAATATTTCTGTTTAATAAATCTGTTTTGTTTAAATGTACTAAAATACATTGCCTATATTCACTGAGAAACAGATAAAAATATTCATTTTCAAAATGGGGTGAACTCAATTATGCTTAGCACTGTACAGTTGCAATTGAAAAGTTGCAATTGAAAATCGAATTGTTCCCCAGATTTGATTTTTTTACATCTGATCATTTTAAGTTATAAACAATTGCTTCAAATAATTACAAGAAATTATCCAAAATGCAAGAATAACTATAAACTGAAATAGTGAAAAAAAATTCAATTCACAGGAAAAAACTTAATAATTGCATAATATACACTGTAGTTTTACATCATATATTTCTGAAGAAAAAAAAAACTTAATTATTCTCAGAATAATAAAGAAAAAAAATCAGATAAAGTAAAAATTTCTTCCTTTGGGTGGAATCAAGTTTGATTACTTTGTGTGCGAGTGTGTATAATGTCTTTCCAATAATAAGTCTTATAGTGAAGTCTGTCATTTGACATGCATTAAGCAGACCGATAAATATACTGTAAAAGGAAGTTATATATTGTTGTACTTTAGAAGGTCCTCCAGTGTGTGTGTGTGTGTGTGTATGTGTGTTTGTGTCCTGCATTCATACAGTGCAGTATTGTAGTCCTGCTCATTAGGACACGTTTGTCCTCTATGTCCCGTTGAGGAGGCCTTCGTGCCTCAGTACATGATGGCCATTAATGGGTTCCTCATGAGTCCCTGTTATTATATAAGCGATGATTGCACAGCTCAACTGTCATTAGTTCTGGCCATTCCTGTGTGTTAACATGAAAGCATTTCTCTGTTATTGGGAAGAAAGGAATGTGTTAATGTCTCTTTAGGATTTATTCCCTTATCCTGTTCTGCTTTTTTATTTATTGTCATTTCATTGAATTTAATTCCAGGTGATCCACAACACCACACGGAAGGTGATGGTAGTAAAGATATATAAGAATGATGTTGATCAGGACAGCATTGTACGAGAAATCAGCCTGCTGCAGAAACTTTCACACCCCAACATCGTGAGGTATTTCTGTTTAACTGTCCATCCATCCATCCATTCCTTTGTCTGTCCTTCTGTCTGTCAGTTTATCTTTTTGTTTTTGTATATCCATCCATCCATCCATCCATCCATTCATCTATCCTACCTTCCTACCTAATGGTGGCTCAGAGTTGATAGATGAAGAGTCACAGTTATAGTCTTATAGTCTTTTTATTTATCTCATACTGGAAACAGACTTCCATCTGATGACCGCAGAATTGCTGATAGTGATGTTAACTGTTTTAAGGTTGGATGAATAAACAGCCACAGTGTGCAGTGTTGTAATAGATGCATTGTAGACAACTATGTAGAAGATAAAATAGTTTTTGTGTCCATTTCCACACTTCAGTTTGTTAGTTTTTGTATTAATGGTACAAATTGAGTAATGTGGGCATTTCTAATCTTTAACTGGCAATGAATATACTCGTATCTTACACTTTGGGGACAGACTCAACTGTACAAGATTGTGATGATGAATCCTAACAGGACTGCTAGAGTCAGACCAAGCCCTGTCCAGCTCAGCACTCTTTTATCTTCTGTTAATCTTACACGATGATGACGTGGGTTTGTCTAAGCAATCTCACATTGGATTTTTCCAGTAAGTTTTATGTAAGGACAAATCTATATCCATTCCTGCCTGTGCAGTGTTAATTTATTACAACTTTCCACTCGCTGCCAGCTGTCATCTCCCAATAACCGATCACAGTCATTTTCACCCATGAACAAAATGGCAGAATGGGACAGAAACCATATGAGGTCACCATGACAAGGGGAAATATAGTTTTATTTACACATATTTGAAGCTTCACTGATTCATGGCTGTAATAGATCTTTAGGTTGATGACTTGAGTATCACTTTTTAACTTGATGTTGAATTTCTGCATAGTTGACCAATTAGTCTAAACTGCCTCAACATTACAGATTTAGGCCATAAGTTATTCTGAGTGTTTGTTACTTCCTCTCATTTCTCTTTTCCCCCCAGGTATCTGGGTATTTGTGTCAAAGAAGACAAGCTGTACCCTATTCTGGAGGTGAGTTTGTTCTTTGTTTCTTATAATGCATTATATTTTTCTTTGAAATATTACACTTACCGGCCACTTTATTAGGTACATCTGTCTAACTGCTGATTAACGCAAATTTCTAATCAGCCTATCACATGGCAGCAACTCAATGCATTTAGGCATGCAGACATGGTCAAGATGATCTGCTGCAGTTCAAACCGAGCATCAGAATGGGGAAGAATGATGATTTAAGTGACTTTGAATGTACCATGGTTATTGGTGCCAGACGGGCTGGTCTGAGTATTTCAGAAACTGCTGATCTGCTGAGATATTCACACACAACCATTTCTAGGCTCTACGAAGAATGGTCAGAAAAAGAGAAAATATCCAGTGAGCGATTCTGTGGGCACAAATGCCTTGTTGATGCCAGAGGTCAGAATGACCAGACTGATTATAACTGATAGAAAGGCAACAGTAACTCAAATAACCACTCGGTGCAACCAGGGTATGCAGAAGAGCATCTCTGAATGCACAACACGTCCAACCTTGAGGCGGATAGGCTACAGCAGCAGAAGACCACACCGGATGCCGCTCCTGTCATCTAATAACAGAAAACTGAGGCTACAATTCACACAGGCTCACCAAAATTGGACAATACAAGATTGGAAAGTGTTGCCTGGTCTGATGAGTCTCGATTTCTGCTGCGGAATTTGAATGGTAGGGTCAGAACTTGGCATCAACAACATGAAAGCATGGATCCATCCTGCTTTGTATCAATAGTTCAGGCTGGTGGCGGTGTAATGGTGTGGGGACATTTTCTTGGCACACTTTGAGCCCATTAGTACCAATTGATCATCATGTCAACGCCACAGCCTACCTGAGTATTGTTGCTGACCATGTCTATCCCTTTATGACCACAGTGTACCCATCTTTTGATGGCTACTTCCAGCAGGATAACACACCATATCATACAGCGCGAATCATCTAACACTGGTTTCTTGAACATGACAATGAGTTCACTGTACTCAAATGACCTCCACTGTCACCAGATCTCAATAGAATGGAGCACCTTAGGGATGTGGTGGAACGGGAGATTAGCATTATGGATCTGCAATAATGCATGACGCTATCATGTCAATGTGGACCAAAATCTCTGAGGAATATTTCCACTAACTTGTTGAATCTATGCCACAAAAGATTAAGGCAGTTCTGAAGGCAAAAGGGGGTCCAATCCAGTACTATTAAGGTGTACCTAATAAAGTGGCCGGTGAGTGTACAAACTGCACTTTTATTGGACTCCATAATACACTTTTTTTCTCCTAAGCTGTTCTCTTTAAAGACTGCAGCACAACTTATCAATTCAGTTGCTCATTTTTGATGTGCATGCAGGAATTTATTTGGTAAATGTGTTTCTATCTTATTTTTTTCTTATTGAATAAAATGTTTATCCTGCCTGCTTGTGCACATACATTTTATGCAAATTTTAAAAATGTATGCGCATCATGGCCGTAGCATTTTTTAAGTGATATTCCAAAAAATGAGCGTAAAAATAGGTGGGTGGAATCATAGCTAGAACAGAAGTGCATGTTTGTGTGTGTGTTTCTCTCGACAGTATGTGAGTGGAGGATGTCTAGAGGAGCTGTTAGCCAGGCAGGATGTGCCTTTGTGCTGGAGAGAGAAAGTAGACCTGGCCTCCGACATCACCAGAGGGATGATTTACCTCCACTACAAGAACATTTACCACAGGGATCTCAACTCTAAGGTACAGCATGGCTCTCAGTCACGCTCATCTACAGTCACAATAGTAGATCAGCAATCTAGTGTTACAGGGAGTTGTTCTCCCCTGAGAAATGCAGACAGAGATGTTTGCGCTTGAGAGTTTCACTGGTTGCCAGGATTCACACGAGTGCTCACCAAACCTAGGCCGATGGTGGCACAACAAGGCTACTCCATTGTGATGGTAATACACGTTCCCATTCTGTGTCTCTCTCCCTACACTTCCCATCTCATTTGAGAGTCCAGAAATGCGCAGAGTATAGGCTTGCAGATCCCCCACCCTTTGGTTTTCAGCCCGGCCTTGTCTCTCAGCCGCTGTCTATTTGTCAGCCTTTCAGATCTGAACAATGAGCAGACAAAAATGCCAGCCACACCATTTGCAGTACTGTGACATCTAGCATGCTGGTTAGCGGGACCAGCGTTTGCTTGTCATTTGACATGAAAGTTGGCACAATTGTGGGAAGCTTTCCGAAAATTTAAGCTGTTACTTGCTTTTGAGACGTTCATTTAGAAAAGGTTCATTAGGCTGATTGGAACAATGTGTTGCGAGAAATGAATGAAGAGAAGCTGAAAGTTTCATATGCCAAATTTTTAAGTGCATCAAATACTTCATAGTTTATGTGACACAATGGCTCAGTGGTTAGCACTTTCACCTCACAGCAAGAAGGTTGCAAGCTCAAGTCCCAGCTGGGTCAGTAGGCATTTCTGTTTGGAGTTTGCATGTTCTCCCCATGTTCACATGGGTTTGCTGTAGGTGTTCCCGTTTCCCTCACAGTCTAAAGAAATGCACTAAAGGTGAATTGAATAAAGTAAATTGACCGTAGTAGTGTATGAGTGTGAATGAGTGTGTATGGGTGTTTCCCAATACTGGGTTGCAGCTGGAAGGGCATCCACTGTGTAAGACATATGCTGGATAAGTTGGTGGTTCATTCTGCTGTGGTGACCCCTGATGAATAAAGGGACTAAGCTGAAAGAAAATGAATGAATTAACTTCATCGTTTAATTTTCATACCTTTTTTAAGTGCAGAATTATGGCCGTAAACCAGTATTTTCTAAAACGTAGCTGTTTACTACCACATATTGTTATTTTATGCCAAAAAAGACACTGTAAAGGACATAATTACAACATATTCAGTCGACAATATTTTTAGACCTCTTGTGAAATTTAAAGTCTATTTCCAATATTTCCCACGTGGGCATAACAGTGGCGCAGTGGGTAGCCCCATCGCCTCACAGGAAGAAGGTCACTGGTTCGAGCCCCAGCTGGGCCGCGTGGCATTTCTGTGTGGAGTTTGCATGTTCTCCCCGTGTTTATGTGGGTTTCCTCCAGGTGCTCCGGTTTCCTCCACAGGTCCGAAGTTGTACGCTACAGGTGAATTGAATAAACTGTATTAACCGTAGTATATGTGTTTAAATGTGATTGTGTATGGGTGTTTCCCAAAACTGGGTTGCAGCTGGAAGGGCATCCACTGTGTAAAACATGTGCTGGATAAGTTGGTGGTTCATTCTACTGAGGCGACCCTGATGAATATAAGACTAAGCTAAAAGAAAATGAATTCTTGTTTAATCTTAATTCTAATCTAATTTTTATTTGCACATATTTTGTTATTTTAGGGCAAAAAAACAGAGTAAAGGACATATTTACTACATATTCAGTTGACGACAACATTTTTAGACCTCCTGTGAAATTTTTCAATCTTTTTCAGATATTTCCTAAGTGCTGTTTGACTAAGTTCAACATTTTTAAGCATAATAGTTGTAATTACTCATTTATTTTGTCTTTGCCATGATGACAGCACATAACATTTTGCTAGTTATTTAACAAGATACTAGGTAGATTACAATAACTAGGCAGGTTTGGTTAGTGTCCTAACTATTGGATACGGCAAGACAAAGCAAGTTTATTTACATAGCACATTTCATACACAGTGGCAATTCAAAGTGCTTTACACAAACAGGAATAAAAGAGACAAGTATAAGAAAATAAAAACAAATAATAAAAAAAAAGTTACACATTTTAAAAAAGAATGAAAAAGAAAAGAAAGACTCAATAGTGCATTCTGTCGGACACATCTCAGTTTTCATATGGTAAAGTTTCGGATGGGAGGGGACATCTTCCCCCCTTAGATGTACTGTTTGCATTATACTATACTTTTTGTACTATATACCGTTTTGCATCTGCACAACTCTGGTGTGCACTCCTTACCATGTGCCCTTAAGTCATAGGTGTCAAACTGGATTCCTGGAGGGTCGCAGCGCTGCAGTTTTGCTCCAACCCTAATCAAACACAGCTGATCCAAATAATCAAGGCGTTCAAGACTACTAGAGACTATTAAGCAGGTGTGAGTTGGAGGTGATTGAAGGTAAATTGCGCAGAGCTGTGGCCCTCCAGGAATTGAGTTTGAGACCATTGCCTTAAGTGTAGTTGTTACCTATATTTGTAGATTATTTTATATGTGTAATTGTTTGTATTGTAATTTCTTTTTAAATCTCTACTTTTTGTATTAATATTATATGTTAGGCACCTAGGGTCTGAGAGTAACGCAATTTCAATTATCTGTATGTCCTGTACATGTGGTTGAATTGACAATAAAGCTGACTTTGAAAAAGGAGATTATTAATATTGATCTTAATAGCTTTTAAATTTAAAAAAAAAAAGTTTATTTTTTTATTCCTGCCAAACTAAAAGAACTTTCTTTAGGGGAAATATATGTGGAAATACTATGAAAAATGTCTTTGCTCTGTTAAACATCACTTGGGAAATATTTGAACAGTAAAAAAAAAATTCACATGAGTGCTAGTCATTTTATATGCAACAATATAGAGAGAGATGCCATCAGATATTTTATTTTTGTATTGAATCAAGCAACCTCAGTGCCCTTATTTCAAACCCAGCCATTATCAGCAGAGCCGGAGGGTGCTGTAACGCTCCCTATGCATGAGTTACTCTTTCTAAATTGGGAGATTTCTAGGCTCAAGGGCTGCACTTGGAGTTTTCTTAGTCCTGTAATCATAGCATAGGTCAGTGTTTGGGATAGAGCCTCAGCTGTGGTTTCTAATTCAACCCAGATGCAGAAAGTTAATGTTTTCTCCATCAGCACTTTCTGCTCCAAGAGTCTCTCTGCTTTAAGTAACGTCTGGCTGATACCTGGAGTCCCTTTACTCTGGTCAGCCTCACAGGCTCCTCATTGCTCTTTTCATTAAAATAGCAGGCCGTTTCTCACACCCACAGTCATTCAGCCTTAAAGGCACAATCCATGTTTTATTTATTCATTTATTATGTATTTATGGAAATAGGCTCATTTTACAAGTTACCTAGAGTAAAACAGACGAGAGCACTTTTATTTTAGCTTAGCATAAATCATTGAATCCGATTGAACCAATGACTGGATTAGACCATTAGCATCTCGCTCAATAAATAAAAACAGTTTGGATAATATTCCTATTTGAAGCTTTGTTCTTCTGTAGTTACATTAATATATGGCTTTGAGGTGCAATGAAATTGGATGGAAAATTAAGGACACTGTTTTAATTTTTTGCTAATGGTCTAATTCAATTCAATCATCTATGCTAAGCTAAGCTAAAATGCTCCTGCCAGACATGGAAATCAACTGATGGGATTTAAAAATGTTAAACCCAGCAGTTTAACTCTACATGGGTTGAAAAACAAACATATTTCCCTAAAAAAAAAAAAAGTTCCTTTAAACAGATTTCCAGCCTTAATGTTGTTTGTAGCCATGACACATCATCACTCTAAACCATTCAGACTGAGGTGAGGTATAACATTTCATAGCTGTACCTCAGGAGTTTGACAAACGGAAGAGGGGAATTGTAGGCGGTCGAGACCCTTTGGCGAGATGCGGGGTCTGCTGAATAATTCATTACACCAAGAAACAGCCTTGGTTTGAGTTCTGCTTCAGCCACAGGGCTCATTGTCTCTAAAGGCCATTCATAGACATGATACACACACACACACACACTAAAGCACACAACAACAGCCATGCATTTTACTGTTTTTATACGTCAATCATCTGTACTGTTTAGATGACATTTAGCTTCTTTATATGAAACTCCATACTCAGTAAGCACATGGGTCAAGCTTTCTGTTTGTTTGCTTGATTATAAGGTGAAATGCCTTACAGAAGTGTGCTAGACCAGTGTACTAGTGTTTTTACATTTTGCAAACTTGGCTCTAGGGAATCAAATGGGGACGCAAGGGAATTACCTAGATGTAATAAATGTAGTTGATTGATGGATTATTATTATTTTATTTTTTATTTTTTCTTAAATTATTATTTTCAGTTTTTGTTTGTGTATTTGATGTTGTGTTGGTGTCTATTGTGTTGTGTCATTCTTGTTATGTGAGGCACCACCGTGTCCGAATGAATTGTCCCAAGGGGATTAATAAAGCTTTAAACTAAGACCCTCTGAAAAAAGGAATGAGAAATATTTAAAAAGTGTGATTTGTTAAATTATCTAATGAATAAAACTAGTCATTAAGATTCATAAACTGTATAAAAACAAAGAGAAATCTGATTAAAATAATCTAACAAAATCCAAAATGTGATTAAATATTCTAATAAAAAAATTAATGCTTCATTAAAGTTTCGTTTAAAAATGTAAATTTTTTTGTTATATTTGTAATGAAAATTATTTTATTTCTAAGATTATTGTACTAAATATTTTAATGAATAAATATGAACATAGATTAGATTAAAACGCATACTAAAATATGTAACAAGCAAGTAAATGTTTATATTAAGTTCTAAAATAAGTGTAAAAAATGGTGTCAATATAAAATAAACTATATAGATGACTTTAAGATAGGGGTCTCTCAACAGAAGATCATCTTATATGGGGGATTATGAGATCTAAAATATATGCCTTCAGATTTTATACTCTGCAAGAGCTTTGTTGGACGTTGTAGCGACTAACTTTCTGTTAGTTTTTACCGCCCCCTTTTGGTAGCAAAGAAAAGTGCATTTCTTTAATGTTGAATGCATGTGTTTATTTTTTTAGTCTATGATTTACGCAGGTTTTGCCTCGTGTTGCTTGCTATATATCGAGTATGTTTACTTCATTATTTAAAAAGAAAGACTTCTGTATATCAAGCTATTTACACAAAATATAATAGTAAATACAGTTCAAAGATTTGAAGTAGAAATCATTCGGCAAAAATGCAATATTAAGCAGCACAGCATTTATGATATAGGTATATATAAGTATATTGCAAGTATTAATATCATCATATTAGAATGATTTCTAAAGTATCAAATGCTGAAAGTGTACAAAATAAATAGGAAAAAAATAATTAAGCATCATCAACAACTATGTTTCATAATATTAGAGATTTACTGTATGTTTTACAATTCTAAAAGTGAAACTAAATTATTATTAGTGGAAAGAGAATGAAAATGTAAAATAGGTCTTGTGTGAACTCCTCTCTCCCACAGAACTGTCTAATAAGGATGACTGCGAGAGGCAGAGAGGCGCTGGTCACAGATTTTGGTTTGGCACGAGAGGTTGTTGAGCTTCCATCAAAGGACCGGAAGCTGTCTCTTGTAGGCTCTGCATTCTGGATGGCCCCTGAGATGCTGCGTGGAGAACCGTATGACCGCAAGGTAAAAACCTAAAAAAATTCAGAGCAAGTCATGAAACTGTGCTGAGATTTGCAGGCTTCTTACTAAATCTGATTTTGCTTTATAAAATGGTAGGTGGACGTGTTTTCTTTTGGGATTGTTTTATGTGAAATTCTGGCCAGGATCCCAGCAGACCCAGAAATCCTTCCAAGAACGCAGGTCAATATAAATAACACCATCGACACTGTCAGAATTCAGTGTGTGCATTTATTTATTAAAAAATCTGTATTTGTTTTATGATTGTTTGTGTGTGTTGCAGGACTATGGTCTGGATGTATCAGCGTTTAGGAAAATGGTCAGTGGGTGTCCTCAGCGTCTTTTGGAGCTGGCAGCCAGCTGCTGTCTAGTAAGTGACCCTGTTAACAGTCACATTTATAAAAAATGAACGCTAGTGATGCACCAATCTTGATATAACACATGCAAATATGAAAGCACTAATGCATTGAGAAAGTATAATAATCAATTTAAAAAACACAGATATGCGCAAATTCTCACAACACATGCAAATAAAGAAACACACTGCAAATAGCACAGACTACAATGCAAATAATATATGGAACCCAAAAGTGACGAACCCAACTGCTTCCTGTTTACTTATTTGCATAATTTTTTTTTGTTCCCGGAATAATTTTTACATGCTAACATTCAAATAACAGTTCATTTAAACTCTAATTGTGCAATTTTCTGATTATTGGGGCTAAAAACACAAACAACAAGGAACTATATGACAAGGATATTAAAATAAAGAGAAAAATCTCAAATCTCAGACAACATCACTGACTCTAAACAGAAAGCAGCTGCGTTTGTCATGTTGTGGGGTTCTCTGACACATTTCCGTTTTGGTCTGCACTATTGATCTTATCGTATCTGTGGATTTTAACGGTTGTATTAAATACCGGTGTAACTGCTTTTTTAAAGCACTAAGTTTAATGATGTTAAGACTGAAGGGCTTTATTCTAAAAACACAACTGCCTGGAGGTACTTGCGTGACTACTTGCCACAAAACATAAAACAAAAATAGACAAAACATTCTTCTTTTAATCTCTTAAAGTTGATTAATTCTACAATTAAAGGCAAAGCTTATGGAAATGAAAACAGATGAATGGAACATACACTAACCTTTAGACAGATTTTCACTTATGAAGTAACCAAAAATCCTTCATGTGATTGCCTAAACATTAGCTTAAAATGGAAACATGCAGTTTGTGTTATTTTATTTAATGTTGAATCATAAAATGGCAGTAGTAGACATTTAAATCAATAGTTCACCACAAATTACAAATGTACTCACTCTAAAATGGTTCCAGAAAAAAGGTTGGAAAACTGTACCTGTTGACTTTTGTTGTAGGAAAAACGAATACAATGGGTACCAATTTTTCCAATATTTTTCAATGTATTTATTCTGTTCAAGAGAAAAAAACTAAATCATTTACTCACTTGTTACAAACCTGTTTAAAGAATTATCCTATTTAGTGAACCATCCCTTAAATAAAGGTCAATTGTAGGTCAATTGGTAACTTTATTTCAAGTCACAATTCACGCTACAGTACCATTAACTGAGACTATTCGCTCAAAAAACTGCTTCTTATTAATAGTTAGTTAGGTGGAAGTTGGGTTTAAGTTCTGTGTGGGAATAGAAGAAGAATAAAGTCATACTTTATAACTACCAAAACACAGTAAGGGCCCTATCATACACCCGGCGCAAGATGCGTTTGGTGCGATTTGTTGCTGTTTTCAGCTCAGCACAACACTAATTTTCATGTTTTGCACCTCGTTGTTTAAATGGCAAATCCATGGGTGTGCAGGTCTGAAAAGGAGGTGTGTTTAGGCGCATCATTGGCACGTTTCTATTTTGAAGAATTGAAAGAGGCTGCGCCATTACACACGGTTTTAGTTGGTCAAAGTCCAGCGCAGAGTGCGTTAGTTTTGCTGGTCCAAAATGTGTGCACATTGCTGAATACACACAAGATGTACAGAAATACACAAATATCTTTACATTTGAAAAAAAATAAATAGATTTTACAAAATTATATTTTCATGGCTCTTAAAGAGAATGGGAGAGTAGACTCTGATTAGTTTAATGCACATTACACTCAAAACACACCTGTAACTCATTAAGAGAATAAGCTCAACCCTGTTAGACCAAGTGCCACAACGCAAAATGTATTTGCTCGTCCTTAAAATAACAAAAGTGGATTCTGACATGCTCTTAATGCTTTTGCACTTTAGACTTTGTGCCTAGATTGTTAAAATAGAGCCCTGATATTGCAGTTAATAGCATGAACTGTGACTTAAGCTAAAGTGTTACCGCTCAATTTGTTGAAGTTACATGTTGTGTTTTCTGTGAGTGCTATGCTGGATATACATTAGCAAATGAAAATCCGTTAAACAAGATCAGTGATGTACAACTAATTTTATAATAAGTGTGTAATCAATCACGGTTAATCGCACAAAAAGGGTGCAAATAATTGTGATTTTAATCTATTTAGAGTCCTATTAACAACTAACAGATTTGCTGCATAGAAAAGATATTCTGTTTTAGCAGTGCCTTGTTTCTTAACGTCTGCTCTCTGATGCAGCTCGACGCATTCAGAAGACCCTCGTTCACAGAGCTTCAAGATGAGTTGGGGGAGATTGCTGAGAGTTTGGAAACTCCTCACTCTGAGCTCACCACAGGCTGACCACCCTATGCTATCCCATCAGCCCCTGCAGTCAGACACACACACAGATGAAGTTCTGTACATAGACATTAGTGCAATGACAAAAGCAGCAAAACTTTCCGACTGGATTGTCTGGTCTCTATTTATTATGGACGCTCTGAAAGTGACTACATGGCCCTACTGTTCGGCACAGCTGTACATAGCATATTCTGTGCAATAAATAGTAATTGTATATCAAGAGAAATGTCGTATCAGGTTCCGGCTAAAATGTTTACCTGTTTGCAGTGTCATCTACAATGCTACAGATTTTTTAAGTGTATTGTATGTTTTGTATAGGAATCATTTTATATTCAAAAACCCAGAATTAAGGTTTGAGGATAAAGCTAACCATTGATAAAAGGACTAACTTTTAAATAACCAAATAATATTTTCATAAGCTTCAGTAAATGATCAATTAAGAAAGTGATTTATACTTATTTTGGTACCAACTTTCTAGTTAGGAAAAAAGCGCACTTGCATTGATTGATTTTTGAAAAGTGATGAGAGCGCGCTTTTTTTTTTTTTGTAAACAATATGAGCAAGCACTCTTAACTTGTGGTTTTGCTTTCACTGGAAGCTGAACTGCTTATTTCTAGAAATTCTCCTCAAGAGTCATCAGGATGAAGTCTTTTCCCTGCCTGCAGGTGCCTCCGTGCTGCTGGATTGTACTGCCAATTGTTTTGTTAACAATTATCCATACAAAGCTTTAGTATTTCATATTTGCACGCAGGTTTTATGTGTTCATTTTAGTTTCCTTTTTTTTTTTTTTTTTTGCAGTTTGTTGCGAGTCATCAGCACAAATATATGAATCCAAGCTTAAGATGGCACTCCAATAAACAGTGACGACAAATTTCTCTTTAAACGTAAAGTGTCTCACATAATTTGTTCAGATGGGTCGTTATTGAATAAAACATGTGGTTGAATTTTTCTAAAACTGGATGAGGTTTGCACAAATCAGAAAACCTGACAAGCATAGAGGGAAAAAAATCACTTGGTAATCCTAAAGTCAGTATCACTAACCATATCAAATGCATAATCTGACTGTTATTTTTTTTAGTGATGGTACAATAAATATGCATTTATCATTTACTCACCCTCAAGTTGTTCTAAATATGTATCATTTTATTTCTCCTCCTCAACACAAAATATAGTTTTTACATGTTTGTAAACACATCTTTGACGAAACCTATTTACTTCTATTGTAGGCAAAAATAATAAATTCAATTTTCTAGTTTGCTTAACTTTTTTTTTTTTCTTGTTCCCAGTAGTCCTCTCAATTTACTTGTTTTGTTTATCTCAGCTTACATTCTCTAATTCACATAGCCCAATTATTTTATTTTTTCTTTCAATCTAATTTTTCCAATCGCCGAACTTTGATTCCTTCTTACAACTTAATTTTCTGGTTTTACAACTATTTTTTTAACCAAATTTTTCTAGTTCTCACAGCTTATTTTGTTTGCTTAATTTGTTTAGTTATTGCCATTTAATTTTTATTATTTGTATATATATGTGTGTGTGTGTATATATGTGTGTGTGTATATATATATATATATATATATATATATATATATATATATATATATATATATATATATATATATATATATATATATATATATATATATATATATATATATATATAAATGATAAAATCAGTATACATAACTACAGCAAATGCACAACTTAGCAGTTTATTTGTTTTTAGTCTTGGCGTTTAAAGTATTCTTAAGTTCTGGTAAGCTGTTTTAATCATTGTGCTTTATCTGTGAAATGACTCTAGAACATCATTCAAATGAACTCAAGTCATGCTACTCTCTTTGAATCTAATATCTTTGAATCACAAGCCTCCAGTTTGTATATTCTGAATCTTTCTGCTAGTGTTTTTGTTATGATTTTACGACAAGAGGTGGTGTATGTGAATGCTGTGTATTTTTCAAATAAATTCATTAAAATGTTTCACTCCTGTCTTATTATAAATACACTACTATTACCTTCAAGATTTGTTTAACAATTTTTTCTTATAACCAAAGACTGTAAACCCAAGGCTGAACGGTTCCTTTCTCTGCCTGACAGAAGTTGATGTACGATAAGAAACATTTTTCATTATCAGACAAAAAACGTGCTTTACTTTCATGATTGGTTGCCAGGCAACTTTGATGTTGTCTCTTAAGATCGCCAACAATAAATGGGCTTCTTTGTGGCGCCTGTTATCAAACCACTCGATGCAAATCATTTGAATAATAATGAATGACAATTAGTTTATCATTGGATTAATCTCTGATACTGGGCTGCTGAATTAACTCAGATAACATGTGACTGCCTTATAACCATAGGCCAAGTTTCACATTTTTGCCTGGAGGACAAACACAAGCTCAGAAAAATTATATTTATAAATTAAAAAAAACAACAACACATATGTACATACAAGTTTTTACATTTAGGTAAACTCTTACCTTCAAACTGGGTTTTGGATCTGTTGACATATATTTTCTATTTTTATTTCCCTTAACTCAATTTTTTTCATTTTTTAAAATAAAGTTCATTCATTTTAGTTTCCCCAACTTATTTTTTTTAAGTTTCCCCAACTTAATTTTTCTGTTTATAGGTTTTCTTAACTTTTTTATTTCCCTAAACTTCCTATGTTTCCCCAAAATAATTTTTAATTTAAGTTGACCCGACTTAAACTTTTTAGGTTCTCCATATTATTTTTTAAACTAAAGTTGGCCCATCTTAATTTTTGAGGTCCCCTGAATTAAATTTAAAACTTAACTGAACCAACTTTATTTTTTAAGTTCCTAAACTTAATTTTGAAATTTAGGTTGGACAAACAAAAAAATTTAAGTTCCCCAAATTAATTGCAAAAAAAATTGAGTCGGCCCAACTAAATTTTTTAAGTTCCCCGACTTAATTTTTAAAGTTTAAGTAGGCCCAACTCAATTTTTAAGTTCCTCAACTTAATTTTAAATTTTAGGTTGGCCCAACTCAATTTCTTAAGATTCCCCAACCTAATGTTGAAGATTGAGTTGGCCCAACTCAATTTTTTTAAGTTTCCCAACTTAATTTTGAAAATTGAGTTGGCCCAACTCAATTTTTAAGTTCTACAGATTACTTGCCAAAAATTAAGTTGGCCAAACTCAACTTTTAAAGTTTCCCAACTTAATTTTGAAAATTGGGTTGGCCCAACTCAATTTTTAAGTTCCCCCAACTAAATTTCAGAAATTAAGTTGGCCCAACTCAATTTTTTTAAGTTTCCCCAACTTAATTTCAAAAATTGAGTTGGTCCAACTCAATTTTTAAAGTTTCCCAACTTAATTTTGAAAATTGAGTTGGCCCAACTCAATTTTTTTAATTCCCCCAACTAAATTTCAGAAATTAAGTTGGCCCAACTCAATTTTTAAAGTTTCCCAACTTAATTTTGAAAATTGAGTTGGCCCAACTCAATTTTTTAAGTTCCCCAACATAATTTCTAATAATGAGTTGGCCCAACTCAATTNTTTTTAATTCCCCCAACTAAATTTCAGGAAATTAAGGTGGCCCAACTCAATTTTTAAAGTTTCCCAACTAAATATCAGAAATTAAGTTGACCCAACTCAAATTTTTAAAGTTTCCCAACTTAATTTCGAAAATTGAGTTGGCCCAACTCAATTTTTAAAGTTTCCCAACTAAATTTCAGAAATTAAGTTGGCCCAACTCAATTTTTAAAGTTTCCCAACTTAATTTCAAAAATTGAGTTGGCCCAACTCAATTTTTTAATTCCCCAACTAAATTTCAGAAATTAAGTTGGCCCAACTCAATTTTTAAAGTTTCCCAACTTAATTTCAGAAATTAAGTTGGCCCAACTCAATTTTTTAATTCCCCAACTAAATTTCAGAAATTAAGTTGGCCCAACTCAATTTTTTTAATTCCCCCAACTAAATTTCAGAAATTAAGTTGGCCCAACTCAATTTTTAAAGTTGTCCAGATTACTTGCCAAAATTTAAGTTAACTCAACTCAATTGTTTAAGTTCCCCAACTTAATTTGTCCCAAATCATTTTTTTAAGTTCTCAGGATAAATTTATAAATTTAGGTTGGCCCAACTCAATTTTTTTAATTCTCCAACTAATTTCACAATTTAAGTTGGTCCAACACAATTTTTTTAGGTTTCATACAAACAAATTTTACACAATTTACAGCTGAAACAAACACAAGTTACAGAACAAACAAACACAATTTACACAAGTTACAGCCTGAAACAAACACATTTTACACACGTTACAGTTCACAAACAATTTATTTTATACACAATATCAATTACAAAGAATAAAGAAAATGTAAACAATCATGTAAAAATTCCAAGTTAAATAAACAAATTTTACACTAATTACAGCTGAAACAAACACATTTTACACAAATTACAGCTGAAACAAACACATTTTACACAAATTACAGCTCAAACAAACACATTTTACACAAGTTACAGCTTAAAAACATTTTACACAAATTACAGGTCAAACACATTTTACACAAATTACAGCTGAAACAAACACTTTTTACACAAAGAACAGCTAAAACAAACACATTTTACACAAATAACAGCTCAAAAACAAACACATTTTACACAAATAACAGCTCAAACAAACACATTTTACACAAATAACAGCTCAAACAAACACATTTTACACAAATAACAGCTCAAACAAACACATTTTACACAAATAACAGCTCAAACAAACGTTTTACACAAATTACAGCTCACACCAACACATTTTACACAAATTACAGGTTAAACAAACACATTTTACACAAGTTACAGCTTAAAAACATTTACACAAATTACAGCTCAAACAAACATGTTTTACACAAATAACAGCTCAAACATTTTACACAAATTACAGCTCAAACAAACACATTTTACACAAATTACAGCTCAAACACATTTTCACAATTTACAGCTGAAACAAACACATTTTACATAAATTACAGCTGAAACAAACACAATTTACACGAATTACAGCTCAAACAAACACATTTTACACAAGTTACAGGTTAAACAAACACATTTTACACAAGTTACAGTTCACAAACAATTTATTTTATACACAATATCAATTACAATAAATAAAGAAAATGCAAACAATCATGTACAAATTACAGGTCAAACAAACACATTTCACACAAAATACAGCTCAAACAAATATATTTTACTCAAATTACAGCTCACACAAACCCATTTTACACAAATTACAGCTGAAACAAACACATTTTACACAAATTACAGATGAAACAAACACATTTTACACAAATTACAGCTGAAACAAACACATTTTACACAAAATACAGCTCAAACAAACACATTTTACACAAATTACAGCTGAAACAAACACATTTTACACAAAATACAGCTCAAACAAATACATTTTACACAAACCCATTTTACACAAATTACAGCTGAAACAAACACATTTTACACAAAATACAGCTCAAACAAACACATTGTACACAAATTACAGGTTAAACAAACACATTTTACACGTTACAGTTAACAAACAATTTACTTCATACACAATATTAATTACAAAGAATAAAGAAAATGCAAACAATCATGTACAAATTACAGCTTAAACAAACATACACATTTTACATAAATTACAGCTTAAACACATTTTACACAAGTTACAGCTTAAACAAACACATTTTACACAAATTACAGCTTAAAAACTAATTTTTCACAAATTACAGCTCAAAAAATACATTTTACACAAGTTACAGTTCACAAACTATTTTACACACAATATAAATTACAAAGAATAAAGAAAATGCAAACAATCATGTACAAATTCCAAGTTAAATAAACAAATTTTACACTAATTACAGCTGAAACAAACACATTTTACACACAAACAATTTACTTTATACACAATATCAATTACAAAGAATAAAGAAAATGCAAAAACTCATGTACAAAAATACAGCTCACAAACACATTTTACCCAAAAAGAGCTTAAAACCACTGTAGACTTCACTGAAATCAGCTGGTGAGTTTGTATAGACTTTATAATGGAAATGAGCTCTGAACAATCATTGTTTTTCAGTGGGTTTTTTATTAGAAAGTG